CGAAATCGAATCTTCCGTTGTTTTGTTTGGCTGTTTCAGGTTGGAGGGAATTAAGGTTATTTAAGCGGTTCAGAGTTAAAAAAGCGGTAGAAATCTTACTTCTGATTTTACTTTTGATTATCAACTTCTCCTCCATGTTTGTTCAGAGGTGTACGGAGCATCCTGTCGGCTCATTGGTCAGTGAATGAAACCTCCGTTGATTGGTCCTCGTCCGAGCGACAGCGATGAAAAGTAGAAAATATTTCAACTTTCTGGGATCGCGTCGCTGGGTCGCCTGTGCACGAGTGCAAAATTTCACACGCCCATTTTTCGCGTTTCGCTCAGTAGGAGGGAGACCCGCGATTATCGCTTTGTCGCGCATGTCTCATTGAAAATGAATGGAAGAGAGGCCACGTCGCCTCCCACGTATTGAGCCCGTTACAGTGTGTGGTATACAGTCACACGGCAAACACAACACACCACCGTCCAACCACTTTCATGTCCAGACATTCCCACGTCAGACAGGAAATCTCACATAACAGAAGTTAAACAGAGGAGGTGGATAAAGAGAGGGATTTGGATTCCCCTCGCTTCATGCAACATGCTCTTGTCATCTCGCTCGCTGAGCGGCTCCACGTATTCAACAGTACACTTGTCCTCAAAATCAGGTCAAGACAATTAAACATGTTGGCTGTGACTGGAGCAGTCCCAACATGCTTCTGAACAGACCAGATCGCCCTTATCACGTCACACAAACTCACTTGGTAGTGGCACCAGTTCAATTCAATTCAATTCAATTCAAAGATACTTCATTAATCCCAAAGGGAAATTAGAGTTTCAGTACACACAATTCTGAGATCAGACATACATACATAGGCATAGACACATGACAAGAATTGGAGACTGGTCATTCGCAACCCGAGTCGCGCTACCTTAATAGAGATCAGAGGGTTACATGAGGATAGGTTCAGGTGGAGGAAAAAAAGGCACTTCAGAGTTACCCTCCACAGGGAGGGCAGCTTTGCTATGCAAAAAACACCTCAGACAGAAATGCAACAGACTTCAGACATTACACAACATAAGTGTCCACTAGGTGGGGAGGTAGGGTTGGAACTGTCCTCACATCAGTGCATGCAGCCATGATAAGCAGCACTCGTCACCTCCGTTTGGACAGGGGAAGGAGGTATTTGGGTTAGAGAGCACAGTGACTCCTGGAAACGATTCAACGACCTTCACCGGTCGCAGTCCTGCCCAGGCTGGGATAGGGAGATATAGTTACCATGGCAATGGCAGCATTCCACATTTCTTCTGGGGGGGAGTATTCACTTCAGCCTCACAGGCTCAAGGGCACCAGATTCAGATAAGAACTTGTTTTGGGTCCAGACAGAGATAATTTCCTCTCTATCTTAAAGTTCTGTTGGTCCTCAACCCCTCTGAATGCAATAATGGCGTAATTAATCTATCCCAATCCGTGCTGATCCGTCAACTTTCTCCTTGATGGAATCAATCTTCTGTGCCAGAGTCTGAATCTCAGCCAAAGTTCCAAGCTTACGACTCATCTCGACAATTATATGAGTCTGTGCGTTCACAGCACGGTGTAATCCATCCCTGAGCTCCGGGATTGAGCCAATATTCCTCGACAGCTCATTAATTTTCCGGTAAGCCGGGTAACCGCTCAGGCCAAACAGAACGAAACCTGACACCAACACCACGAATATCCAGACGTCTTCAGAATCCTCTACAGACAGTTGAGAGGCAGATCAGGTTCCACTGTTTCCAGGAGTCCATGATATGCCCAGCTGACTCTGTCCCAGAGGGGCATCCGGGAACCCCTTCTCCTGTTCTCATCGTTGAAAAAATTTTGTCAATCGCATTAAGAGACCAACTGACCAGGTCCATTTTTAATAATTTCCAGTTTCCAGAAAAAATGCAGAAGCGCCGTACACCCAGAGACAGACAAAGAGCCTTGGGATAAGATAGGGAGGAGAGGAGGAAAAAAGCGTCTGAACTCTCCAAGAGCCGGTAGAAGAACATTCGTTAGGAAAACCAGACTTGGCTGTGTTAGTTTGCCTGGTCTTTGACCAACACTGCAGTTGTAACCAACTCCTTCCGCTGTGACAACAAACCCAACATTACAGCAATGAAAAGCAGAACTCAAGTCATCAAAACAATAGATGGTCTCCTGAGGGATCTCCTCCCAGACCTGGACTAAAGCATCTGCCACCTCCTGGACAGTCTGTGGTGGCTGGAGCGAGACATGATGTGCCAGATGTGCTCATTGAGATTCAGGTCTGGGAAACGGACGGTCCAGTCTACAGCATCAGTGCAGGAACTGCTGACACACTCCAGCCTTGTGAGGTCCAGCATTGTCTTATATTTGGAGGAACCCAGGGCCAACTGCATCAGCATATGATCTCACAAGTGGTCTGAGGATCTCATCTTGGTACCGTTGGCAGTCAGGCTACCTCTGGCGAGCACATAAAGGGTTGCGTGGCCATCCAAAGAAATACCACCCCACACCATTACTGATGCACTGCCAAACCAGTCATGCTGGAGGATGTTGCAGGCAGCAGAATGTTCTCCACAGTGTCTCCAGACTCGGTCACATCTGT